AAATTAAACTTACTACTAATAAGTAACTAATTAGTACGTACCGTAGGTTTACTAAATAATAGACAATAGTATTGTGCATGCTATTACTGCATGCTCTCTCTCTCTCTCTCTCTCTCTCTCTCTCTCTCAAAAAGAGTTCATCATCCACTATTTTTAAAAAGAGTAATGATCTTATAGGACCGTCCCCCACCCATGTATGTAAGACCTTAAATGATCACCATTAAATTTTGGAGTAATGATCTTATAGGACCCTCCCCCACCTATGTGTGTAGGATCCTAAAGGATCACCATTAAATTTGGCACGGATCTTTAAAAAAATTTATCACATGAGTGTGAGACTTGATTTTTTAGAGATCCATACAAAATTTAATGGTGCTCTTTTGGGGTCATACACACATGGGTGAGAGAAGGTCCTATAGGATCATTTCTCTTTTAAAAACTCAATCAATTATTTATTGATAAATATATATGGAAAAAGTTTATGTAAGGATGCAACCTTATAATGTAGAACTACATATGCACCTCAAAAATCCATCGAAAAAGGTAGTTTTGATGTTGAAAAACCCTTTGATTGATCATCTCGATATCGAGATGTATGATCATGAAAAATTAAAAGATTTTAAGTCTCTGAAATAGTGCATTTTACAACATATTATCTACACCATCTATTTTCAAGATTTTCATATGTTTATATATCTACTTGATTTTAACCATTTTTTAAATTTAAAATTTGACAGTTAGATATAAAAATAGATTTTGAGATAATCTTAATAATATTTTACATCAAAATTATATACCACGATAAATTTTGAAGGTGCACCTTACCTCTACAGCTACGGATACATCCATATGCCAACCGCATCCAATATATATACATATATAGCCCTTTGTATCCCTTGTAACAGTCATTGTATATGTTATTCTTGAATGTAAAAAACCTCATATATTTAATATCTTTGAAAATATTTTAATCATTCTTAAATTCCCGTCCTCCAGCTAGTCGTGGCAATCGAGACAGGTTCACCCAATCCCGTGGGTCGACCTGATATAGGTTGACGTCCAAGTTTTGGACCTGGTTGGTTGCGTCCAGATCAAAACCCTGGACCCAGATCGGATGTGGAGTAGTCTGACTCGAACATATCCACATACACACCACACACACACATATCACCCATTTTAAAAAATTTAATTATTTGTGCATATGATTGATTTTAATATTTTTTAAGCCTTAAATTTAATAAGAGTAATGACCCTATGAGACCCTCCCACACCCATGTGTGTAGGATCTCAAAGGATCACCATTAAATTTGGTATAAATCTTTAAAAAAGTTATCATATGGGTGTAGGACTTGACTTTTCTAGGGATATATGCTAAATTAAATGGTGATTATTTAGAGTCCTACACACATGGATGTAAGAGGGTCTTATAAGATCATTACTCATTTAATGATTAAAAGGGACAATAGATTTTCATGCTATCACAAGACTTTCCGACACTACAACTGCATCTTTCAGCAAAGTTTTGAATTGTACATTACGCCAATAGTATAAGATTCACACCTGATACAAATATTGCCCCTTTTGTTTATCCCGGGTATTATACAGTTCAAGGGCATTTGAAACTAACCTTATTATTTTACAACTATCCTAGGTTTCAGGCTAGAGCACCTCCCTTTAGAAATCTTTTTCATATACATAGTATATACCGAAAAAGTGATAAAACAAAAAAATAGAACAAATTCACGTCGATGCTTTGTACTTATTCATTTGCAATTTAAACAGTTTTAAATATTTTTCTATGCATAATGAAATTAATTTTGGGTACATAGGTAGGGGAGTAAAAAGAGGGGGCATGAAATGAATTGTATGAAATGCCTGACAATACTAGAGATATTTTCTCAAGAATAAACAACATTTCAAAAAAAGAAGCCTCACTTAGGGCCTATTTGGATGTGTGTTAACACTGACAAATTACCTGTTTCAATAAAATTAATCCCCGATAGTGAATCATCTATGGATGTGGTTTTTATAAGGTTGCAGCCTTAAACAATCCAATTAAGACGCACCTCCAAATTTTATCATCACATGTAATTTTGGCATAAAAAATTCGTAGGATTATCTTAACATTTATTTTCATATGTAATTATAAAATCTTAAACTCCAAAAATAGTTAAAATCAAGTACATCTATAAACATATGAAAATCTTGAAAATGGACGGTCTAGATAATGCGTTGTAAGATGCATTATTCGTAGAACTCAAAATATTATTATTTTTTATATATAGTCATTCATCTCGATGTCGAGATGATCAATTAGAGGGTTTTTCAACATTAAAACAACCTTTTCTGATCGATTTTTGATATGCATATTTATTTCTACATTTTAAAGTTGTAAACTTATATAAAATTTTTTCATTATTATATATTGTTCGGCGGTGTCTATTATAAATTATATGAGATAAACTTATAAACAATTGTATATCTAAGTTTATTTTTCTTTAAAAGTTGTTTTTACAAATAAGCTCAAAATAATAAAAAATACTTGAAAATTACTTAAAAATTAATTAATTAAATAATATTACACATAAGTTTCGTGCTGAACAACGGATAAATTAATTTGATCAAGTCTATCAGCTATAGATAAGCCAGTCCACTCGAAATAAAATTAATTATCAAAATAATTAGAAAAAGAGAAAATCCGGATGAGATATACTATGTTATCTTATTCTCTATCTACAGGGATAATATCACTTACCCCAACCTTCTTTTCACCAGAAAAAATTTAGAGAGAGAGAAGATTTAGAGAGAGAGAGAGCAAAGGCCTTATCCCAACCTGCAACTTCAAACTCATAAATAAAACCTGGTTAGAAAATAGAGTTAGAGAGAGAAACCTGCAACTTCAGTACTTAGTTGGTGGTTGTACCACCAAGTGAGACAGACATGTCTTCCAAGAAAACCTTAGCTTCTGACGTGCCATGGAGGGCTTCCGAGGAAAAACCCATCCCCAAAATCCACCATCCTCCCATCCTCCGCCTCCCCTCTAACCCCACCTCCAACTATGCGCTTGCTGTAATGAAGGTGCATCTCTCTCTCTCTCTCCTATCTATCTCTCCCTCTCTTTCGCGCGCTTTCTTCCCTCTCTCTCTCCTCTTTTTATCTTTACGGACTCTCTCTCTCTATATATACCTCCCTCTCTCTCTATATATACCTCCCTCTCTCTCTTTCGCTCTTTCTTCCCTCTCTCATCTTTCTATCTTAATGTAAGTTCTTCATTCTCTCTCTAAACAAATCAGCACCCAGACCCCATTGGAGACGGCCTAGCAACCGAGGCCTTTCTGGAAGCAGCAGGTCCCGAGTGCGTTATACCAGGACAGGTTACGCCCATAAGACTGCTTGGATTGAAGGTTTCAAATTCTTCTCTCGCCCACTTATTCCTACTGTTGTTTTTGGTCTATGAAGTTTTTCTTGATTTGAGTTTGAAGCTTTGTTTAATAAATATTCTTTAATCGATGCGTAAATTATTCATGACTTCAGATGAACTTTCTATCATTTCTGAGTATGGTATTTACTGGTTTGTTACTATGGATTCAGGGATGAGTTTTTTTGTTGGGTTCGCCACATATCAAGTTCAAAATGCTCCTTTTGAGTTTCAAGTATTGAATAGGATGAAATAATTGATATGTATTATTTCTACATGTTTGATTGTGTTCATGAGTGCTTTTATTGCTTCAATTGAAAACTAGATGAAAATTAAAGCAACACCAAATGCATAAAAATGGGGGAAAAATTTCCCTGATTTTATCATACAATTCCACCGCCTTGAATTCTTGCTTATCTTTCATGGATCTTAATATACTGCTTCTTAGGTTGGTAGTATAGAGTATGGACAAAATGCTGGGCTGTTAATTACGTTGAAAAGGTACATACAAATGAGACGGAGAAGGAACTTTAATGACCTGAATTCCTTACTGGTTCCGTGTAATGTAGTGATGCTTTAGTATACCTTGCAATACCTTGGCTAAGAATGCAAGTTATGAACCCTCCTTTCACAAGAGATTCTAAGCTAGAATATATTGTGAAAGGAAGCTTCAAAAGTATCCATAGTTTGAAAGACCTATGCTAGATTAGAGGCGAACCCAATGATTATGTAATTTCACTTCTCTAACTATCAAAATTGTGGGGAAGTGGAAAGAGACCGGATTTCATGCTACTTATGAGTGTTATTATGGATGCATTCTCAAGGGAGTTACAAGCCCAAGGGACACATCTATATTGACAGTCTTATGTCATTAGTGGCTTGTTGATAGTGGTCCTCATGTGTTTCGAATAGGCTTGATCGTGAGATTGAACCAACTGATCATCACTCTTCGTGCTATTTATAGTAGTTACACTGATCACGAGCGTTTATCCTCCTTGAGGTTTTGCTTGGACCATCAGCTTGGTGGTCAAATGAACCAATGTATTTGTGAGGAACATGGTAGGAGCAACCCCTGTATGAGTTTTCCATGAGGGTCAAGAGATAGCTGCTTGCCAACTATCATGTGAGGGTGGTTTGGAAGCTACTTGGTGGGGGTATAGGCAAAACGAAGTGTCGCTCTATGGTCGTAAGGGAGTGTAAGATCTTTTAGTGATAACTACAACTGATAGGACTCTTCCAATTATATCTATATATAGGAAGATACTGTAAAATGGCTATAGACGAAATGAACAATGATTTCGCCTACCCTAATCACCGTCCAAAGTTTATCGTACCGTTACGATTGTCCGGTAGTATTTCATTTTTCATTTTTTTTTCTACGAATCAGAATGACCTAAAATTTGGAGCGTGTGTTCATAAAAAACAGGCAAATCTAAAAAAACTATAAAAAAAATAATTTACATGAAAAAATTGACCAAAATACCCCCAAAACGTTTTGGGGGTATTTTGGTCAATTTCTTTGGTGAATTATTTTTTGTATATTTTTATTAGGTGCACCTCACTAAGATGTACACACGCTCGAAATTTTAGGTCATTGTGATTTGTAGAAAAAAAATGAAAAATGAAACACTACCTGACAATCGTGACCGTGCGATGAACTTTTGACAGTGATGAGGGTAGGAGAAATCACTGTTCATTTTCGCCTATAGGCGTTGGGAAGAATTTTCCATATATATATATATATATAATTGAGCAACACGGGTTGTGAAAAGGTTGATATAATTAGTAAAGAGGATTTTCGGTTTCTAAAGGTAGGGTGGGAAATATCTTAGGATGATGGGGTGGTTTTGAGAAGTTTTGCATTTAGATAGGAGCTAGTTCGGGCTGAACTTGTGGGGAGCCAAAGTGAAGTGCAGTATACTTGGCTAGAGATACTGAATGGGAGTTGGCCCAAAAGTAAGCTTTGTTCCTTCAAGGAGTGTTGAGTTTGTGGCAAAAACCATGGTGAGAAGGTAGGAAGGATTGATGTTAAGAAGGTTGGAGAATTGGGCCATGGAAAAAGGGGTTGTTGGGTCTTGTTGATTAATATGTGTATGTGGTAGAGGTACCTTTACATGTAAGTGCAAACATCAAATTTTTACAGTCAATCTTCTTTTCCTTTTTTTTTTTTTTTTGTAATGTAGATCCTCAATGGTATTATGGTAGTGGTATGGACCATGTATTTCTTCACATAACAACTTTGACCCAAACTGATTGGAGCATTAAAGTTTTCATAGAAAATGGTTGCGGATGAAATATGAATACAAGGTGAGCCAATAGAGCTTTGGAGCCATAGCTTTTCACTACATGTAGCTGATATCTGACTTGCCAAGTTTTGAACTTTAAGGGGTTTTATGTAGTTTTTCACAAAATCCTCAGAATCCATGAGGAATTTAGGAAGTGAAATTGATGTACTTATGGATTATGTTGATGATATTGTAACTACAATCATTGGGGTGGGGGCTAGCTGCTTTCCTTTTCATTTGAAAGGAAATCAATTGCCCATTGTTGCTCTCTCACCATGAGAAAAGGGATGGGGAGCATAGAACTTCATAAACCCAAATATCTATCATGGGGATAGGGATGGGACTTGTCAAGGCAAATGAAGTGAACTGGATACATTGTGTCCTTTATATGTCTGTCGTAGCCAGTTTGCCCTGCTGTCTAGATAACGATGGTCATGGTAGTCTACCAGCCCCCTTAACTAATGGGTCCAGCAAGCCTCTAACCTTGTAAGAAAATTAATGAGTAATCAATGAGTAGAATAATCTTTAAAGAGAAGTATTGGATAATATATTTGTAAGAAATTTTCTATTCATATATTTTTATAAGATTGGGGATTTTCTCCCCAAACTAATCTTACGTATATGGTAAGTGGATTATTATGGAAAAAAAGTCGTGAAAAGAAATTGGGTTTCTTAAATAGAAATTTTTTCTTTTCAATTGAATATTTATTAAGCCATTTACTTTCTATTGAAAGACTTACATATATTGGATTCATGGTATTTCATAAGGGAAGTTTTACTTATTATGTTTTGAGTAAAGGCAATTTTTGGGCAGTTTCTAACATGTTACTCAGAGTTGCTAAAGTATTTAATGACAATTTATTTCCCAGGTATGGCCTGTTGAGGTCAACTTGAAATTTATGGAACCGGTTTCACGAGAACTACGGTCAATTGGAAAGGTATTTCTTTTATTTACCTTTGTGCATTGCTCCAGTGTAGACAATATGCTCGCCTGGTTCATAAGGTTGTGGATATTCTTTTTCTCTTCAATTTCCATTGATACCATAATTAAACCAAAAATGTTGTTGAGATGTCTGTATAAGGATATCTATTTTTAATGTTTTAGCAATATCTAAAATGTTAATAGATGTTAGTGGGCAGTGAAATATCATTTTGCATAGTAGTTATGATTTTGCTTTACATGTATTGCATGTTAACTGTCAAGCCAAAGGACACATGTCCTTCAGCTCTACTATTTAAGTATTTGAGTATCCTCTAAGACAAAAAACATATAATATCTCAGTATCATACATTGAACTGAGGTGGTAGTAGTATTTAAATCTCTAGATGTTAATATGTGATGAAACACCCGTTTGCCTAGTGCTTATGATTTTTACTTACAACTGTCTGTTGCTCGTCAAGCTAAAAGATACATGTCTTACAATACTATTTTGAAGTATCATTAAATTTTCAGCAGAAAATCACGTAAAATTTGAGTATCTTGCCCTGAACCAAGATGGTTGGATATGATTCGCACACATGTTTATGGGCTTGATTTCCAACTCGAGGGCAACAATTTCTAGTTGCAATATCTTCCAAACTAATTCTGTGTGATTGTTTGTGGTATTTTTTTTGTTTAAACAAAGAGGAAGAGTTTGTAGTACCTACAATAAAAGGAAAAGGAGTGGAAGAGGAAGATGTTGAGACATGGAGCTCCAAAGCCTGAGAGAACAGTCTTCATTGGTCTGTAGAGTAGTTTCCATATACATATTATATACAATGAATCTCATTTAATTAACCTTGCTTACTTCTAGACTAATAAAAGGAGATAAAACTATACAAATTTTACACCAATGTATAAGATTATGGTACAAACTAGATACCCTGAGATGGATAAGAGTGCCCTGGTAACATAGATCTCTCTGGGTTGACATTCCACTTGTTAGTTAAAGTTGTGGAGAATGTGCATTTAAATGATTGATGCATACATCTGAAAGAGGAAACCATACTCTCAATACTTGTAAAGCAATCGTAGGCAGTGCTAGCAAATATCTCTAATCTCATTATTTTAATTGAGTATTCCTTAAAGGTCTGGTTGTTAGTAACCTATATTGGGATAGCATATTATGTATTCTACGTTGTCATTACTTCAGGAGGAAAGGAAGTCCCACCATGAAGGCACTTTTTCCCATGACATAGAATGCCTCTTTTTCTTTGTGAAGTATTGAACAAACAAACTTGTATTTTCATCATTATAGAGTATGTTAAATATTTAAAAGCCATCATGTTTTCATCATTTTATCAATGTGTGTTTTTTATATGGAAAATGAGTTTTATGCCCAAATATGAAATGAGCTCCCTACCCTTATTTTGAATGTACTAAGGTGTGTGCTCCTTAAAATAACGTTTGTTATTCCTTTATCGTATGTGGCACCAAAATGTCAAAACACAAGCAAAAGAAAACTGATTTCAGAGTGAGGAAAGAGAAAAGGAGAAAATCATGTAAATTGAGGATTTGTCCCTTTTGTCCACCCTTCCATAAACAATCAAATTAAGACTCACCTCAAAAATTCACTAGGAGACTTTGGCTCGATGCTGAAGAAGCATCAATCCAATCATCTCGTCCTCAAGATTTATGGACATGTGGAAAATATATTTCAAGTCTTGGGAATAGTGCATCTTGTACTACATTATCTAAGCTGTCAATTTTTAAGATTTTCATGTGTTTATAGATCTGCGTGATCTACGCTATCTTATAATCATTATATTTTATTATTAGAGATGAAAATAGATTTATAGGCCATCATAAAGATTTATGATACTGAAACGACATGTTTCGACACTATTTGATTGCGCCTTACTTTGATTGTTTAGGGCCTCGGCCTTATACAAACCACACCCTATATATTTATATATCTTACTCCTGTAAATGATAGACCACTTTAATGGGTTCTTTTAGTGGTAGACATATAACAAAGCTCTTTGCAAATAAGAGAGGGGCGTGAGATGTTATCTTTGATGCATTTGCTATAAAATATGTTATAAACAGCATGTGTGTCATGTCTCTCTAGCAGAATTAAACATGCCATCATGCTAGACATGTGTGTGAACATGCAAAATATGCCTTCTGACGTGGAAATCCATGTTGACATGCATGTGTGGATATTTTCCATTTTTGGATATGCTGATGCAGCAGTGTCTTCTATGCGGGACATGCAAGTCCACAGATTGGACAAAGAAGACACGTCTGCATTGGAAAACATGTGTGTCCATTTTGTAAGACACGTGTGTCTGTGTGATTAAGCATATACATCTATGATTTGAGGCCACATATTTAGTATTTTAAGTTACTCCTTTATAATTAAAATAGTCGCAAATTATTGCGATAAACATGTTTTATGGACTCATACGAGCTTGTCGTACTAGACTTGGCAAAATATGCGTAGGTGAGTTGGATTCATCAAATCTGTGTGACATGGATTTTCGTAACCATGTCCATAGATTCCATTCTTAGATCATGTTCTAAAGAGGGATAAAATAGATGGTTTTTGCACTCTGGTGTTGATACTCTTTGTTTTAATCTTAGAATAGCCATCGAAAGGGAGGAATGACCATTTTTTCAGAGCAGAAAGAAATGCAAGAAGAAGAGTTCTACTCTTCATGTTTTGTTCTCTCCTCTCCTCCCTATAATTTTTCTCATTCTGTTTCTCTGTCAATATTTCCCACCTAGGTAGGATATGTGTGTAACTAGGGTGAATATGAGTGATACATGCCTACTTATATTTAAAGTTTAAACTAAGGGTTTTCATCTAATTTTAATTTGCCATAAAATTTATTTTCCCTTCTTTTGGTTATTATTTCTAAGCACTGGGATGTTTTGGGATTTAGTCTTAAAATTGCAATAAGTAATGCAGATAGGTTGTACAGTAAAATTCGTTACCAAGTCACAAGAGCTCGGAATATGGTTTTCTTTAAGACTCATTCCTATTCAAATGTTTTCTAGTTATGGCTTTCTTTATGTTCTCTTGCAATCTGGAATTTCTCAGATGCAGCCAGTTGTTTCACCAAGCTCCCCTACAGAACATTCACCTAGTATGGACAAAACCCAATATAAGTATCATTCCGTTAAAGCTAGGGCGCTCGCCTGTTTTGTCTTGTCATTTCAATACCTTTACTTTCCCATGGTTTTAGATTTATATTGTCCACATTTTATTGAATTCATTGGAGTCATTATTGTTCTATGGAAGAAAGTATCCTTCTCATCATATCTGCTTGATTGGAATATGTATTAATTTGTGTGTAATTATTTATTATATATGCGTGATAACTAATAATATCGAGGCCTATTTATTAGTTTACTTTGATCTTCTAGAGATTAGTTTTTAAAGCCATGGGCTTGAGCAGGGCCTAGCCTGGGTACCGAGCCCGAGTTGCTTTGTCGGACTCGGGCCAGTCCCAAGTAGGACCAGGTATTTTTACCAAGTTATTTCTTTAAAAAAAACTAGATATTCAAAGCGAGTCTTGAGGTATTGACTTGCTAGGGCTCTGAGCTGGGCCAAGTTGGGCGAGTCCGGAGATTCTCCTGAGCAAAGTTCCTTTGTTGTTTATGTTCTAGTAAGAATGCTTTAAAGTTTAGATTGGACATCCATGTTCTAACTGTTCTCACTTTTGTTGCTCCAGAATTGGCAGCTTAGGTATATTCGTGTTCTTGTACGTGTGAACCGACTTGCAAATTTTATAACTATTGAGATAGTCATGTCCTTAATTATTGTGTATATGTTATGGCATTGGCCTTGTGGACAGCCATCAATATAGTATTTAAAAATTCACGATAATGGCAGCTATGATTTCTTGCTTCTTGGCCAGCTGTAATATATATATTTTTTGATGTTGTTAACTGTTGTATTAATAAAAGGGAGAGACAAAGGTGTCAACGAGATGACCCACAGGTTGGGCCTCGCGCAAAAAAGGGCTATCCCAAAAATTCCCTATACAAAAAATGGGTGGGGCTTATAACATATGCCCGTTACAGAAGATGTACAAAAAGAGTATTAGAGGAACCAAAAACTCCAAAAAAGGAGTGTGTGCCAAAAAATCTCGAGCTGTTATGAATCTGCAACACATGCGCCTGCCCCTTCCTTAGCCAATAGGTCTGCCAGATCGTTGATTCCCTCCAAAAATGCGTCCATTAGACGGTTGTATCCCTGCAAATGTGCATAATTTCGTCATAAATCGAGACAAGGTACCAGGGAGGGAGAGATTCCAGTCGCCCAGACGATTATATTTTTGGCATCGCCTTCAACCATCAGGGGTTGTCCCCACGCAAGGTGGAACGATTTAAGGCCCGTAAGGAGAGGAGCCATGGACTCGGCAAACTGTGAGTCGGCATGGCCTATATTCTTGGAAAATGAGGCCAGGATGTTGCCATGGTGATCTCTAAAGACCCCACCCACCCCCGCTGGTCCAGGGTTCCGAAGGAACACCCATCAAAATTTAGTTTCGTGAGGCTAGGTGGGGAAGGAGACTAGTTGTTTGCTTCGAGAAGGTGGGGTGGGGTGGGGTGGGGTGGGGTGGGGGGGGAGGGGTTCGAGGAGGAGGATGCCTTTCCAATTCTGTAATGTCGCTGCCGAAATGCCTTTAAAAGCCTTGTGATTTGAAGCCCAGAAAATGACGTGGGCTGTAATTTTGTGGAAGAGAGCCGAAGCTTCGCACTTGGCTCCTCGGAATATTCTTGAATTTCTTTCAGTCCAGAGACCCATATCATAGCCGCTATGGGGGCCTTCCAAAGAAGCCTACCTACCTTTGGCCATAGAGAGTTGAGCGAGAGTTTGAAGAGAGCCAAAAGGGAGACAGGTGTAACCCAGGTACGGCCCAAGTGGCGAAGGAGTCGACTCCAAAGGTTGAGGGCCAGATCACAATGTATAAAGAGATGGGGGTTGCTCTCTTCATCACAGAGGCA